GGCAGACTTTTCAAACCCCCCTCCCCCACACACCATGTCCATCATATCTACTTGCTTTATCACAAATCGCCACCATCACCACTACCACTACCACTACAATGCTACTAATATCACCACCACAGCACCACTACACTCGTCGCTCCTCCCAAAACCACCACCACCCTCATTGCCTTCTCCGAAGCCACTGTTCACCCTCACCACCTTTCGTGGAAACAACACCCACCTACCCTACTTTCATCAAACTAGCACCCTCACCAACCTAAGAAATTAACCCTCTCCAAACCCACCACCAACAAAATTTACATAAATTTAATTTATGGCTGGGAGTGAAGGATAGCTCAATGATTAGAGCTTTTTTCTTGGTTTCAAATTATACTGGGATCGATTTTATCTCTCTAAACACCTAAAAAAATTATGGCGGTCAAAATTGGACACGAGTTATGGATCTAAAACTCCTATGGTTTAATTTGACCACTACAATATCAATTTAAAAGGGGGGTAGGGGAACACGAGGTTAAAAAAGAGAGAGAGAGAGAGAGAGATTTTTGTGCCAGATTCGACCAAATGCGATTGGATATGTCGTAGTGGTTGGTCGTGTGGCAACGTAGTATTTTTCTTAATACTTGTATTTCGATTATATTGAATTGACTTTTTTTTTGCTGTTACAATACCAAGAACCATAGGTACGGCTGGAACGATGGTGGTTATGGCATGATACAAATTACGTTAAATGTTGGGTACAAAATGCATAGATTACTCCAACACTTGAACCTAGAAGTAAACATTAAACTCTACCATAAGTAATTCACATGCAAATTTCTCCTTACTACACTAAAGAAAGATGCTACACATAAACCTGGTTTATGTGGGGTAGACATAAACTTCCAATAAGATGCCGCCACATCATTGCTAGCCAAAAAAAGGAAAGGGAAAATTAGGAGGGAAAACTATTTGGGTTTTGGCACCACAAAGCAAGGTTCAGCGAGAGATATAAGTTAGGTGCCAAACATGCATTTAATGCATACTAATCCCACTATCGTGTTACTAAACAATTATATTATAATACTAATAAACAGAATTTGTTACTGGAAATTAGAATGTCCTAGTCAGAGTCATTAATAAAGAGAGAGGTTTTCACAAAAATTGAATAATATATCATTTGATAATAATTCTTAAATTACAAATCAAAAAATTATTATAAAAGCTTAAATTTTATAACAAAACTTAAATTCAAGTAGCAAAGATTTGAATTCTAGTTGAAAAGGGTTAAAATTAAATAGTGTAGGGTTGGTTATTTTACCAATATTAAGATTATGCAAAAATAAATATTTACAAAGTAAGAATAACTCTCTTCAAATGCTCAATGTTGTTTCAAACATCTAATACTAACGACAAGACTTGAGTTGAAGGGCTAAAATAAAGTATTGAAGGGTTAAAATCAAGTAGTGGATTTCCTCAACAACCAAAAATAAATAAAATAAAATAAAATAAAAAAAAATAAACAAATAAATAGTGGAGGGTTAAAAAAATTATCAGTTAAAATACAAAAATAGTTAGCAGTTACTAATACATACATCATTTTGACAAAAAAAATACATAAATATGAAAATTAATTAAAAAATATATTAATAATAAATCTTAAAATTGTCCAATCTTTGTTTATTTTTTGTAAGGAGATTTAATTTCTAACTACTCTTCGTTTTATTAAAAAAATTGTTTCTACATCTTCGTTAGCATTATTAGTATGGTCTCATTCCTTAATATTAATATTAGCTAATTTATTATTATATGACACGACAATTATTAATCTTGTAATTTACTCCCTCCGTTTCAAAATGATCTTTTCGCTTTTCATTTTTTGTGTTTCAAAATTATCTTCCCACTTTCTATTTTTAATTCTTCACTTATCCTCATTATTTTCCCATATTTTCCTAATTTCAGTGGTACTAATTCAAAAAAAAAGGCCCAAATGTACTTTACTCCATAATAATAAGTGGTTGCTATAGATGGTTCCATTGTATTTCAAATGTACTTTATTTCATAATTCTTTCAATTTCTTACCTTTATTTACACAAAAGATTCCACGTGAGAAAATTATTTTTAAACGGATCGGAGGATTTATAATAATAACTTATGATCAATTGTTATTTTTTTAAAGTCAAATTATGCTCCTCGGTATTAACATTAGATAATTGTTAATTATAAGATAATAATAAAATTATTAATCTTGTATTATACAAATACTACATCTTGATCAATTATTTTACAAAAAATTGATATTTGCTAAAATAAATATTTACAAAGGAGTAACTCTTGAAACATTCAATTTTTGCTTCAACCACCCAATACAAATGATAAAACTTAAATTGAGGGATTAAATTAAATAGAGAAGGGTTAAAATCAAATAGTAGGGAGTTAAAAATAATTAACATTTGGAATACAAAACGTAGTTATCGGTTACTAATAAATATAGCGTTGTGTGAAACAAAAGTTTCAAATTACATATTTATAATAAACTATTTTTTTTTACTATATTTAAGAAGATCTATAACTAATCTTCGTTTTATTATCCTTTTTCTCATCGTGTAAGGAGATAACTATAATCAATAAATTATTCATTCATTATTGTTTGCAATACTAATATGATCTTATTCCCTAATATATATTAGGTAATCGATTATTCCAAGGCACAAAAATTATTAAACTTGTAATGTATATATAGTACATTGTAGATATACTAACTCTCGATCAATTGTTATTTTTAAAAATGAAATGATGCTCCTTAATAATAACAATACAATTACGTACTAAATCTCGATCAATTGTCTTACCAAAAAGTGAAACTACACTCCTTACTAATAATATTAGATAATAATTGATTATTAAAAGGCATAACAATTATTAATATTGTAATATACAAATACTAACACTCGATCAATTGTTATACCAGAAAGTGAGATTATGCAAAAATAATCATTTACAAATTAAGTAATAATTATTGAAATACTTAATGTTTGCTTGAAACACACAATACTAATGATAGCACTTGAGTTGATGGGCCAAAACAAAATAGTGAAGGTTTAAAATAAAATAGTGGAAGGTTAAATAAAATGAAATTGGAATACAAATAATAGTTATCGGTTACTAATAAATATATCGTTTTATCAAAAATTAAAATAAAAATGCAAAATAAGTAAAAGTTTTTAAACATATTAATAATAAAACTTAAAATTTTTGAAACTTTGTTTACTTCTTGAAAGAATATATTCGAAACTTGAGATTTAAAAATGCAAATAATTAAATTTTTTAAAACATATCAACAACAAAATAGCGGGATATTCACTATGTTAACATCTTGATACATTATATTTTTATAGTATACACCACCATTATTTACAAACTATAATATAGAATTTGAATACTATTTAAATAATTGTTGTTACTGTAATATAGTTATTGAAAACTATTTAAATAACTGTTGTTACTAAATAAATAACAAACTTACAATCATTACAAATCGTTTTATTTTTAAGATTTGGCTCATTTTTTTTCTTTGTTTTCACAATTTTGATCATCATTTAATTGACTCCAAACGTTTTATGGATTGGAAAGCTTGATCTTTGGTTCTAATTAAAACTGAATATTAATTTCTTATTAATCTGTCACCTAGATAATTCACGGAGTTTATTGTGTTGCCATTATGAAGCATCCAGTGTCCATATTCTGTTACTGATCAATAATCTAACTTGAACAAATTTTTTACTTTGATGTTTAAAATCTGGGAAAATTGAAGAACATTGGAAATAACGATATTTCCATTCACATAGTACAATACGTTTCGATTGAAAAGCTATATTGTTGGGATGTAAATACAACATAATTTGTCTTCAAACCAATTTAATAATCCTAAAATCAATAAAATGAAGCTAATATATGAATAATCTAGAAAAAGAAAAATTAACATTTTTCTTTTTTAGTTTTGTTCATAAGATTTATACCAAAAAAAAAAAATCACAAAACAGATATGAAACAACAAGGATAAAGAACAAATAATTTAAAAAAATGTACAACAAAACATTGTATATTCATATCAATTTCTGAAAAAAAAAAACCAAAAAAAAATTAAGCAAAAGATGAAGAACTAATTTTTACAAAAAATATAGAATAATATGAAGAACATTAGAGGAGAGAAAAAATTGGACACAAAAAATTTCACCCAAAAAGAGTGAGATGGGAATTTTTCACTAATTAGATCGATAAACTATGTTTGATTCGTGAAACATTATATTAAAATAAAAAATAAAAAAATAAAAAATTATAGAAAAAATCAGAAGTAAAAAAAAATTTAAGAACATGAAGAACATTAAAAGAGAGAATAGAGAAAAAAAAAATCAAACTATATAAAATTTCATCAGAAAAAATTAGAGGAAAATTATTCACTAGTTAGATAGATAATAAAGTTTGATTTGTGAAACATTATATAAGAAAATTAAATTATAATAAAAATTCAAAGAAAAAAAAATAGAATTCAAGAACATGAATAACTCTAAGAACATTGGAAGAGAGAAGAGAGAAAAACCAAACAAAAAAATTTCAGTCAAAAAAAATGAGAGGAGAGAATGGGTGGTTGGGAATTTGGGTGTAGTGAATTAGCCTTGAAAATAGATATTTGATTTAAAATTTCATTTGAAATTTAAACAAAGCAAACATCGATTACATTATGCCATATAATTGATTTATGTCTGACCCACATAAACCAAGTTTATGAGTAGCCTTTACCCTACACTAAATTAGTGCAATGTAGTGAGAACATAGCAGACTCTAAATAATCCTATATTCCTAATTGCCAGATCCCCATGTTTCTCAAAATTAGCTCCTGAAATCAATCACCGTTTTATCGTAATAATCAAAGGTAAAAGAAACCCTACAAGGCTAGAACGAAAAATTATTAATGAATTATGACTTAATCTTAGTTACTAAGTAGTAGTACTATGGAGACGTCAAAAGACATAAATATGACATATTATTATCATCAAAAGAATTAGACAATACAATCAAAAGACATGGCAATAACTGTATTACCAGTTCCAAACAAAACTCTCAGCAAATACGTTCATCTAGTATACTGATTACTGAACATCTAAACAAAATTCTAGTACTTAGGAACACCTCATAACATTCTGACATGCCAAAATAGAGATGTTACATGTAATTAACAGTTTAACACTCTAGTCAAAGAGTGAGAAACCCATATCCTCATCCTCACTTTCCTCCTTCTCTGGCTTCTTCTCTTCCTTAGGTGCCTCTGCAGCAGCTGCTCCACCTGAGGGAGCTGCTGCAGCTGCCCCTCCACCGACAACTGCGGCAGCAACAGCTCCACCAATGATCACCTGGACCAAATCAAAAAAAGAATCGAGCAGTGTCAGACAACAGCCCCAGCTGAATCACAACTCTAAACAAGAGTAACACAAGATATATTAGGGGTCACATCATGTCGTTCAGTAATCTCATTTACTAACCTTGTTTAAAAACTCAAAATTACATTACATTATTTAGCTATGATACTAAGACTTCAATCATCCATGTTTGACACCAAACTATGGAACGGTTAATTTCAATATGGACCAAAAACATGTAATAAATTTTCATAAATTGGACGAGCAAAACACCTCTCACTATAAACACATTCATATACCAATGCATATGCCGATATGCGTACAGCTTCAATTACGATACAGGGCAGCTCCTATAAACTTATAGGAGAATGTCAACTATTTCTCTTTCCAACAAACTGCTAGGTTAAGTCATCACAATGAATGATCAGGTTGATCATTAGACTAGCGATCAAACTAGACACTCCTTAACTAATTGTAAGCCGTAGCAAACGAGTAACCCTCACCATTATAATCATGATCATTCGGATCAAACCAGGTCTTCAGGACAATCAAATTCAGGTCATATAGCAACTCCGTTGATTAAGACATGATCAAGTCATTATCAGATCAATTTATGATTAAGACATGGAAAAGTCATTATCAGATCAATTTATGATCGTTTAGATTTATACGTTCCCTAAATTATATTTCCAATTAGTGTTTGCTACTTAATTTCAGTCGGTTCAAATTCAGATCAGATTCTTTTCATACCAAACCCAATTCAAGTCACTACGAGTTCACATCTTCATCAAACTTCGGATCAGATTCAAATCAGGTTCGAATCAATCCAATTACCCAAATTCAAATTCAAATCTAATTCAATTTCACAAATCAAACAAAAAATAAATAAATTTACGAATTTACATAAACTCAGATTCCAATTCTCCAACCAACAACATAAATCCAGAAAACAAAAAATCCAACCATAAACAATCAACTCTTAAGCAACTATTCAAAACCCTAAATTAAATCACAAAATCTAAGAAATTATGAGAATCCGACAAACCTGAGCAACAGCAGAGGAAGGAGTGATGTAATTGAAAGAGGATTGAACAGCGCCGGAATCACCGGAACTAAGGGCGGTTTGAACGAGCTTCCTCTGAAGATCGAAGGTGGAACCAGCGGCGGCTTCAAGGTCGCCGGAGTGTTGCTTGGCGGACCAACCATCGCCGGATTTCTTGCAAACGAAGGTGTATACTCCCATTCTTGACTGATTTGCGAAGAAAGTTTAGGAGAGAGAAAGTGAGATGGAGGTAAGATTAGATTTTGAATTACGGCTTTCGAGGAAGAAGGAGAGAGATCCTATGAGTAGAGTTTTATATGTAGTAGAACAAAACCCTAGATTGGTTGATTTTTAATTAATTGATTTTTAACTTTTTTAGAGTTTTTTTTTTTTTTTTTTTTTTTTTTTTTTTGGTGTGTGTTTGTAAGATGTTAGGGCTGTGAAGTTTAGCCCAAATTAGTTTTATGTTTCATGGACCTTTTTATACATCAACGAACATGGTCCATTAAATATGGAATCAAAATCGAACCAAAAAGAGGTCGATGGATATAAACAAGATTTCAAGGTACAATTTGCACCCTTTAGAGGTTGTAGCCATGACTCATGAGCCCATGAGGTGGGCTTGCTTGATTGTCATCGAACTTTAAAGCATGTGGTGTAGTCCATATTACATTGTCTCTATCAGACCGTTTGATAGCCGATAATAAATTGCTGTAGCAAAAATGAATTTTAAGTGTAATGTAGTTTGAAAACGTATAATTTCTGTAAAACACAATTTCATCCCAAGATTTTGTTTCCTTGGCATTAGGTGGAAATGGAAAGTACAAAGAAAATTAAACAATTTAAGGGTTATCTTGAGTGATCATGGGAATAAACATTGATTTTCTTTTGAAATTTACATACAAATTCATTTTATTACATTGTTTATAATTGGTTGCCAAACAAGTTGTGACTTAATTAGCTCTACGATCTTTGTTATGTTAGAAGAGAGATCTTGTGGGTTCCTGATGGCTTCAATTGCTTCAGAGCAATCTGATTTGAGCATTTCATTTTTTAACTCTTGAGGAATTGTTCAAATCTCATACAGGATTGCATAACACACTGCTTGTTGGGGATTTAAGCGAATTTTCTTGTGGTTCCCTATACTTCCAGCGATTCTTGATTTTTCAGTTTTTCAAGCTATTGCTACTCTTCATTAACCTTTTGTCTTTATTTTCTTTTCCCACGTTGCATCCTATTACATATCACAAAAGCGATAGTCAATGTGCAGCTTGTGAACAATGTGGAAAACAAAGTGTTTAAACAATCAGAAATAGATATATTAGTTACTAACATAAATATTTACTCTAAACATGCAAAATGATTTACAATCTTGAAATGTAATTGTTGATACCAAAATTTTATTTAATTTTAGGTGTTAAATACATATAAATAAGGAGATAATAAGTACACCATGCAAAATTACTAATAAAGTAAACCACATATAAGATTCAGTTATTTGAAGTTACTCAACCCCTATAAAATATCCATGTAACAGAACCAAAATTGACACCCTTGCACTCAAACGGCCATATCTTAAAATCGACAAAAGATTTTGACCTAATTCTAACGGAGTTGGAAAGTATACTTCAAGATCTTTCCAATGATATATTATATGCTTTATTCAAAGTTACGAATAAAAAGTTATGGAAGTTTTTAAAAACGAGTAAAATCTAACAAATGTCTAGCGCCACGGTACATTAAATTTTCCTGTGGTACACATACTATTTGCACGACACCTCTTTTTCCGCCTTTTAGCCTATAAATACGACCCTAATTCTAGGTTTTCAAAGAAAGGACAGCACAATACGAGCTGAAACATACAATTTGAGCCTTTGATCATCATTATACCTATTCTAATCATCGTTTTCAAGCAATTTAATATCTGTTTGCAATACTTGGAGTTTTACTCATCAACCTAGGCGTAAAAGGTTGAATATATAAGAGTTTGGATAAATCTAAACTTTATTTTATTTAATTTAATTATTTCAATTCAATTTATATTTTTTTAATTGAAGTTATTAACAATTTATTAATGATGTAGCAACTTAAAGGAGCGTGCGCAATGTAAGTAATTAATTTATTTAATTTCTTAACTTATTTATTTTGCTAGTATCATGTTTAGGTTTATTATTATGATTTGGATGCTTTGACTAATTAATATTATGACGTTGATTCCAATATTTATGCCGTACTATTTTTATCACCCTTTTTTAATTACGAATATGTAATTGAAAATCACCCCTAATAAGATAATTTGGACAACCAGTTTAGGTTCCCTTTTATTCTTGTGGACTTAATAAGTGATCACAATATTTAGAATTTTATGTGTATTAAATATTCAACCAACTTAGTAATATTAGTTTGGACCAAATTGAACTTTGTTTGTATGCCTTTTAAATCGCAAAGAAAACTTTTCACAATATGAATCGAGTAAAGTCTAATACAGGCAAAGTTGACTTCTATGACTTAACTTTGTACCATCATCCCCAATCCTTTATCCGTGGTTCGTAACCATATGGATTTATTAATCTCATGGACTATGAATGGGGTGTAACCTTTATGGATCAAATCGTGGTTGCCTTCCAGTTTGTCCCTTTTTCGTGGTTGCCTTTAATGATCCATGAACGGCTTATAAGTTCATTAAAAGACTTGTTGGCGGATCCCTACTTTTTGTCCATAATCCTATAATATCAAATCTCACTTTCTATGATTGCCAAGCATATTCACAACATGCTTAAGTAGGCACAATTCAATTGATGCCTACAATACTCTTTCAAATCTTTGAGTTAATTCTATTGCGATTCCAAGTCCATTTTTCATTTTAGTTGATTATTGTCTCTGATAAGAAACACTGAGAAACACGAGTTTTAAACCTTAACACGGCCAAGAATATACAAGCATGAGCTTACATAAAACTTTATTAAATTCCAAATCAATCAATCATACTTTTTCATTAAACATCATCATGTATTTATAAGCTAAATAATTTAACCTAAAAGTCGTATATAACAAACTAATACAAATATCCTTAAAAAAATAATAATAAAAAATAAAAACTAATACAACGCAAACCGAAAAACTAATCCTAGCTTGTAAAGATAAAGTTTTACAAATATGATCTTTAATACTAATCTATAATCTAGTAACCGAATTATACTGACAATTATATCTTAATTAATTAATTTCGGCCACCTAACTAACCAAAAAAAAAATCAAAATAATAAAATAAAACTAATAACGATTGAAAGTTCTAAAATAAGTAAGATTTTCCACAATCAATACGCATCAATAATGAAGAGTAGAGAAAAGGAGTAGGAAAACAATATTTAAGAGAAAGAACTAAGGAATATCAACTATAGAAGAGATAGAAAAACATTAGGAAAGTAAGAAGAAAAAAAAGAGCAAAATTTAAAGTTACAAATGATATAAAAAAGAAGAGAGAGAGAGAGAAGTAGTTGAGATCAGAGTTAAACAGAAAGAGGACATGCCAGCTTTTCAGTTACAAATGTTCATGATTCTTATATGTGGGCTATTCACACAATATAGTCAGCTATACGTAAGAATTTGTGAGAGGACGTCCTATCAAAATTGAAATCTCCTACTATTCAACCCAATAACTAGCCCGAACTAGCAAACAAAACTTCCTAGAAGTTGAAGGAACATTTTTGGTGTATTACTATAGGTATATATAGGTAGCTGAGGAAGTTATAATGCATAACAGTTATGTAAAACTAATTTTACATAAAAACTTTTTCACCTCTCAGTATTACTAATGTTACTGCTCAATAATACTATTGACAGGTGTTCAATACTACTAGTTGGAGCATCAAAGGTACTACTAAAAATGTTTAGGTAGTACTTTATCAATTACCTCTTAGTAGTACTTTTAATTTGTTACTATTTACAAAATTGTCACTGATATGTATTTGTTTGTGCATAATTATTATGCCTTTAAACTCCCTCTAGGTTGGTTAGGTTGGTATATTGTGGCTTATGTTATGAGAGGAAGTACTCATGCAAGTTTGTCATATATTGACTAGTACAAAACATGGCAAAATTGTAACTGAAAAAAGTGGGATATTAAAATATTAAAAGTACATTAAAGAGAAAAGAAAAAAAAATAAGGTGATGTGGATTTCACGTACTTTCAGTCATATTGTCATCACGTGAAAATTAGGGGTACGTATTCGGTTTTCGGTTTGGATTTAGGCCAAATTCAATCCGATCTGAAATAAAATTCGATTTTTAATTTTCAAATCCAATTCAATCCGAATTTCTTATCAATCCAATCCGATCCAATCCAAATTATAATACGGTTATTTGGATCCGATCCAAAAATCCAAATTAAAATACATTGCAAATTTTTAGGGCCTAAAGTGATTATAAAAATAAAAATGAAACTATAAAAATTTTAGTCTAGAAAACATAGTTGTACATGATTAGTACAATTATTGAAACATAATTTTACATGATTATTTTAAACAATCCTTAGTTGTAAAAGCATGATTTCATACTTTGGTTAATTCGGTTTTTTGAATCTAAACAAGGTCAATCCGATCCAATCTGAAAATTCGAATTTTCAAAAAATTTCAATCTGATCCAATCCGATTTAGAGTTTGAATCCGATCCGAATTAATAATTTGGTTTGGATTGGATTGGATTGGATTGGATTTCAGTTTTTATCCAAATTATGGACGCCCAGGTGAAAACAAAGGAAAAAGTGATAAGGACCGTACTCTAATTGTATAATTTGAAGTTTATTATAAAATACTATTAGTTGAGACAGACACTACAAGAGGGGGGTGAATTTTATGTGAGTTCCTAGTGACTATTTTTGCGAAATTAACACAGAATATAAAAGGAACTTAGCAAAGCACACAAGATTTACGAGGAAACCTTCCAGGGCCCAACGGGAAATAAAACATTGACCCTCCCAGGGATTTCAAACACCAAAACAATCCACTATAATAGGACAAACTCTCTTAGTTACAACCTATTATAATCAGACTTTTACTCACAAGTTCCTGACTGAACTTGCTACTCGATAGGACCCTATCCTACCAAATATAAGTCCCGGACTTAGAATCTACTTGACATTCCCTGAATGTCCATTCTCTCAGCTTCAATCTAGAAGCCTATAATCTGTTTGGAATAAGCTAAACACTCACCCAAACTAAAACAATACAAACTCTTTGACTCTAATATGTGATAGGAAAGCTACACATGGGATCCGAAACTAATATGACAAAGTTTAGACTTGGTAAACTTACACTTTAGAGC